TGGGGATGGGGATGAGGATGGGGATGAGGATGGGGATGGGGATGGGGATGGAGGATGAGGAGGAGGATGAGGATGGAGAGGAGGATGGGGATGAGGATGGGGATGGGGATGGAGGATGAGGAGGAGGATGAGGATGGAGAGGAGGATGGGGATGAGGCGGGCAGAGTCCGTCCCCCCTGGACCGGCGCTGCCCCCCCCCCCCCCCCCGCCCCCCCCCCCCCCCCCCCGCAGCTGTGGCACGAGCTGTGCGACCTCATCTCGCAGAACCCCGACAAGGTGCAGTCCCTCAACGTGGACGCCATCATCCGCGGGGGCCTCACGCGCTTCACGGACCAGCTGGGCAAGCTGTGGTGCTCGCTGGCCGACTACTACATCCGCAGCGGCCATTTTGAGAAGGTGGGGGCGGGGCCTGAGGCGGGGGCGGGGCCAGAGACCCGGGGCGGGGCGAGCCCGGCCAATTGCTGTCTCCGCGGCGGCCATTTTGAGCAGCTGTGGGCGGGGCCTCAGCCGGGGGCGGGGCGAGCTGGTCTCCTCGCGGCCCACTGCCGTCCCCGCGGCGGCCATTTTGAGGGGGGGGGGGCGGGGTCTCAGCCGGGGGCGGGGCGGGCCGCGGCCCTCGCTGGCCAATCGCTGTCTCCGCAGCGGCCATTTTGAGACGGCGTGGGTTGGGCCTCGGCTGGGGGCGGGGCGAGCTGTGGCGCTCGCGGGCCAATTGCTGTTTCTGCAGCGGCCATTTTGAGAAGGTGTGGGCGGGGCCTGCAGCAAGGGGCGGGGCGAGCCGGGGTCCTCGCTGGCCAGTTACTGCATCCTCAGCGGCCATTTTGAGAAGGTGTGGGCGGGGCCTGAGACACGAAGCGGGGCGAGCTGGGGCCCTCGCTGGCCAGTAGCTGTCTCGCAGCGGCCATTTTGAGACGGTGTGGGCGGGGCCTCGCCCGGGGGCGGGGCGAGCTGTGGCACTCGCGGACCAATTACTGGGTCCGCAGCGGCCATTTTGAGGTGTGGGCGGGGCCTCGGCTGGGGGCGGGGCGAGCTGTGGCGCTCGCGGGCCAATAGCTGTCTCCGCAGCGGCCATTTTGAGGTGTGGGCGGGGCCTGCAGCAAGGGGCGGGGCGAGCTGGGGTCCTCGCTGGCCAGTTACTGCATCCTCGGCGGCCATTTTGAGAAGGTGTGGGCGGGGCCTCAGCCGGGGGCGGGGCGAGCTGTGGCGCTCGCTGGCCAAGTACTGGATCTGCAGCGGCCATTTTGAGAAGGTGTGGGCGGGACCTGAGGGGGCGGGGCGAGCTCGGGCCCTCACTGGCCAATTGCTGCCTCCGCAGCGGCCATTTTGAGAAGGTATGGGCAGGGCCTGAGACACGGGGCGGGGTGAGGTGGGGCCCTCACTGGCCAATCACTGCATCCGCAGCGGCCATTTTGAGAAGGTGTGGGCGGGGCCTTGGCTGGGGGGCGGGGCGAGCTGAAGCGCTCGCTGGCCAATTACTGAATCTGTAGCAGCCATTTTGAGAAGGTGTGGGCGGGCCCTGAGGGCAGGGGCGGGGCCTCAGCCGGAAGCGGGGCGAGCTGCGGCCCCCGCTGGCCGCGGGTTCGAGTCCCCGGGGTCCCTGTCCCCCTGCTGACGCCCCCCCCCCCCCGCAGGCCCGGGACGTGTACGAGGAGGCCGTGCGCACCGTGATGACCGTGCGCGACTTCACGCAGGTCTTCGACAGCTACGCGCAGTTCGAGGAGAGCATGATCGCCGCCAAGATGGAGACGGCGTCGGAGCTGGGGCGGGAGGAGGAGGGTGAGGGGAGGAGGGGGGTCGGGGGAGGAGCTGGGGGGC